CCTATATATACATGTGTATATATGAGAGAGAGTATGCATGAGTGGGGGAGATGGGCAGAGGGAGAGAGAGAGAGAATCTGAAACAGGTCCCATGCCCAGTGCAGAGCCTGATGGGGGTTCGATCCCATGACCCTGAGCTCACGACCTGAGCCAAAAATCAAGAATCAGATGCTCAACTGACTGAGGCACCGAGGCGCCTCTTACTAACAGCAGAATAATGTATGGTTAAGTAAATATATACATTACAAAACATACACAGAAAAGAAAATTTAAAGGATAAATTAAAATTCCAACATTTTCTTCCCACTCAGAGCATTTTCTGGAGGATACATACCTCCGCCTGGAGACCACCGACCTCGTCTGTTGGTGGCAAACAGCATCAGGGTTAGCTGGTGCGGAAAGAATGTACAGTCAGTGGACTCTGTGCAAAGTGACCCTTACGTCAAACCTGATGGAGAGACAGACAGGACGGGGTGGCACAGTCACTTGGAAGTACAGAATGTTTATGTTTTTGGCACCACAAGAGGTTGGGGAACAAAAATATAGTTCTAGTTTGAACAGAGGTATTGGTCTTGGTCATGGTCAAGGCTGAATCCTGCATGTACCCCTGGGCCGTTCTCACCCCTGCCAGTGTGGCTCCCGTCCCATGCTGATATTACCAGAAAAATCCACATGGAAGTGGAGTCAATAAAAGCTGACTAACACGTGATCTAATTAAGTGGGAAAGGTCTGAGGCGTTTGGAAGAGGCAAGTTCATAAAGGGAAGAATTATAGCGATCTGTAAAGAGTGAACCAGAGCCTAGGAGCTTGGAATGCTCACGCGTGATGTCCCATAGATTTGGGTCAAGTCAGTGTAGGGGGTCACATGGTGGCTGCATTGCCCAGAAGGAAATGCCAGGAAGCAGCAGAAGCGCGCCCTCTCAGAACTCGTATGTTAGCCTGGGACTGGGGCAGCGTGTCCTGCCGCGTGGGCCCTCCTCCCGCCCTGGGAAGGGCCATGGGAACCAGCCTGACTTCCATCAGTCACAAAAGCCAGCACTGGCCATGTGCCTCCAGCGGTAGAGCGAAGGTTGATTTCAGGAAAGAAGGAAAAAAAAAAAAAGAATCTGCGAGAATCTCATCACTTGGATATCCAGTAACTACAGCCAGTTGAGTCTGACTTTGGCAAGTTCTTGCAGTCTCTACAAGGATTCCCTTCCTCTATGGAATGCAGAAAATAGACAACAAAGATCCTCAAATACACAAGTGTAGAAAGATGCACGAAAAAGGATGTTTACTGCCAATGCCATGAAGGAAAAGCCAGAAACCCAACTTTCCATGAAAAAAAAAAAAGGTTAAATACACTATATCCATTCTGTGCAGTTCTTTCTTTTATTATTAAATTATTTTTAATGTTTATTTTTGAGAGAGAGAGAGAGAGCACGAGCAGGAGAGGAGCAGAGAGAGAGGGAGACACAGAATCTGAAGCAGGCTCCAGGCTCTCTCAGAGCCTGACATGGGGCTTGAACTTATGGACTGTGAGGTCTTGACCTGAACTGGTCAGATGCTTAACCGACTCAGCCACCTAGGCACCCCCATTCTATGCAATTCTATGTCACAGTTAATAACGAGGATACGTATATTGATATGATAAGTCAAGGTGTCCTTAAAAATGCAAGATGCAGATAAAAATGAACCTGGACCACTTTCTTACACCATACACAAAGATAAACTCAAAATGGATGAAAGACCTAAATGTGAGACAGGAAGCCATCAAAATCCTCGAGGAGACAGCAGGCAAAAACCTCTTTGATCTCGGCCATAGCAACTTCTTACTCAACACGTCTCCGGAGGCAAAGGAAACAAAAGCAAAAATGAACTACTGGGACCTCATCAAAGTAAAAATCTGCACAGCAAAGGAAACAATCAGCAAAACTAAAAGGCAACCAACGGAATGGGAGAAGACATTTGCAAATGACGTATCAGATAAATTTGGTTAGTATCCAAAATCTATAAAGAACTTATCATTTAAAATTTTTTTTAACATTTATTCATTTTTGAGAGAGAGAGAGAGAGCATTGTAGTGGGGGAAGGGCAGAGAGAGCGGGAGATACAGAATCCGAAGCAGGCTCGGATGACCTGAGCCGAAGTCAGACACTTAACTGACTAAGCCACCCAGGCACCCCAGAACTTATCCAACTCAACACCCAAAAAACAAATAATCCAGTGAAGAAATGGGCAAAAGATATGAATAGACACTTCTCCAAGAAGGCATCCAGAAGGCCAACTGACACATGAAAAAATGCTCAACATCACTCATCAAGGAAATGCAAATCAAAACCACAATGAGATACCACCTCACACCTGTCAGAATGGCGAACACGAACGACTCGGGCAACAACAGATGTTGGCGTGGATGCTGAGAAAGGAACCCTTTTGCACCACTGGTGGGAAAGCAAACTGGTGCAGCCCCTCTGGAAAACAGTATGGAGGTTCCTCAAAAAATTAAAAATAGAACTACCTTACAACCCAGCAATTGCACTACTAGGTATTTATCCAAGGGATACGGATGTGCTGTTTCAAAGGAGCACAGGCATCCCAATGTTTATAGCAGCACTTTCAACAATAGCCAAAGTATGGCAAGAGCCCAAATGTCCATCGACAGGTGAATGGATAAAGAAGATGTGGGGTATATACATACACAGTGGAGTATCACTCGGCCATCAAAAAGAATGAAATCTTGCCATTTGCAACCACGTGGATGGAACTAGAGGGTATTATGCTAAGCGAAATTAGTCAGAGAAAGACAAATATCATATGACTTCACTCATATGAGGACTGTAAGATACAAAGCAGATGAACATAAGGGAAGGGAAGCAAAAATAATATAAAAACAGGGAGGGAGGGGCGCCTGGGTGGCTTAGTCGGTTAAGCGTCCGACTTTCGCTTAGGTCATGATCTCGCGGTTCGTGGGTTCGAGCCCCGCGTCGGGCTCTGTGCTGACTGCCAGCTCAGAGCCTGGAGCCTGTTTCAGTCTTTGATTCCCTCTCTCTCTGGCCCTCCCCTGCTCACACTGTCTCTCTCTCTCTCAGAAACAAATAAAACATTTAAAAATAAATAAATAAATAAGTAAATAAATAAATAAATAAATAAAGACAGGGAGGGAGACAAAACATAGAGACTCTTAAATATGGAGAACAAACAAGGGTTACTGGAGGGGTTATGGGAGGGGGGATGGGCTAAATGGGGAAGGGGCATTAAGGAATCGACTCCTGAAATCATTGTGCTATACACTAACGTGGATGTAAATTTAAAAAATAAAGTCAAAAAAATGCAAGCTGCAGTAAGGGCACAGGGTGACGCCACTGAGGTTTATGCAGGATACACAAAATTATGGTTTTCTCTAACATTGCAATAGGAAAGACAGATCGGGTACTCGTATAATTTCTCACCGGCTCCTTCCAGGCTTACAGGGAACATGCTGTCTGCCAACCTGGAGGAGGCGGTAGCATACGGAAACCAGTCCATCTGCATTTCCTCTCCCCGTGCCTTTTCCTAGTCCAGTCTACCTCACAAGTCATTTCATGATTCATCTCCCTGGACAAAGAGCAAATGTTTATTAAGCACGTGCCATTATGAATAAACTCAGTATTTGGTAACGAAAGGAATATCTTAGGAAAGTTGACCTGATTGTAACGAGCAGCAATGCGAAGCAAGGTGGGTGAGGGGACGGGGGAACCGGTCAAAAGACTCCGTAACGGGCCAGGCATTATTCATCCTGTTCAAAGCTGTTCGGGGCTTCCCAATGCCAATAAAATAAAGGCCAAATTCCTGAGCTTCATATCCAACACTGTCCACAGGCTGGCTTCCAACATGTTTTTCTGAGTCCTTCTATTACTTCCTCCCATCGGAAGACTCCAGTCCAGTCTGGCTTTACTCCAGGTCCCTATCTCTGTTCACACAGTTACTTTTCTCATTCTAACTTCCTAAATCTTGCTTCATTTAAAAATACAGGCTCAAGGGGGCGCCTGGGTGGCTTAGTCAGTTAGGCGTCCGACTTTCGCTTGGGTCATGATCTTGCGGTTTGTGGGTTCGAGCCCCGCGTCGGGCTCTGTGCTGACTGCCAGCTCAGAGCCTGGAGCCTGTTTCAGTCTGTGACTCCGTCTCTCTCTGGCCCTCCCCTGCTCACGCTGTCTCTCTCTCTCCTAGAAATAAATAAAAATTAAATTAAATTTAAAAAAATAAATAAAAATAAAAATAGAGGCTCAGGGCGCCTGGGTGGCTCAGTTGGTTAAGCGTCCGACTTCTGCTTAGGTCATGATCTCACAGTTTGTGAGTTCAAACCCCACATTGGGCTTCGGATCCTCTGTCCCTATCTATCTCTGCCTGATCTATCCCACCCTGATCATGCTCTCTCTCTCTCAAACATAAATAAACACTTAAAAATGGTAAATAAACATTAAATATAGAGAGAGGGAGACTCAAAGTTGTTCTTTAATTCAGTTTTGCAGGATGAAAGTTCTGGATTCAGTTTTGCAGGATGAAAAATTCTGGAAATTGGTTGCACAACAACATGAATATACTTGACACTGGACACTTGAAAACCATTAAGATGGTTATTTCACGTTATGGCTATTTTACCCCAATTAAAAAAGAGAGAGAGATCAGTGGCACCTCGGTGGCTCAGTTGGTTGAGCATTCGACTCTTGGTTCCGGCTCAGATCACGATCTTTCCATTTCCAGAGTTCAAGCCCCACATCACACTCCACACTGGCAGTACGGAGCCTGCTTGGGATTCTCTCTCTCTCCCCTTCTCTCTGACCCTTCCTCACTTGTGCTGTCTCTGTCTCTCTCAAATAAATAAACTTAAAAAAAAAAAAAGATTCTCTCTCTCCTTCTGCCCCTACACCCTTCTAAGATAATCAATCAATCAATCAATCTGCTCTTAAGTGACTGGCCTCAGAAGCAAACTCAAACTGCAAAAAAAAAAAAAAAAAGATAAACTACAGTAACTGCTTTCATGTTAAAAATATTTATTTTTCTAAAAGATCACACAAAAGTTGAGAAGAGAAAGGATATCAACTAGCCTACATCAAAATCTGGGCTGAGGAAGGACAAAGAGCTGCCTAAAGAAACTGGTAGCTGGAGCGAACTGCGAAGGTCAAGATGGCCACCGGCCAACGGAGCCAGCAGCCCGGGGCCGGCCACAGTCACCGGCACCACCGAGGCGCAGCAGGGACAGCAAAGCCGCCGGCCACCATCGTTCCTCCTTTCCAGGAAGGGCGAAGCAGGAGCTCACTCTTTAGACATGTTCTTGATGGTCTTGTGCTCCTTCATGGCCTTTTCCCAGTCGGTGCCATTGAACTCCTCAATGACCACACTCCGCACGGTGCCCTCATCGAGGCAATGTGGGGCGATTCCTAGGGGAGGTGACACAGAGAAAGCAAGGCCCCAGGTATGAACGACAACAGGTACTGTGCTGGCTCTTGAATAAGCCCACACCTGCAAGCATCGCCGCACAGCGATATGCTGGTAACGCTTCGCTTTCCTCACCTCTCAGGTGGGGGTCAGACTTCCTAAACCAGGGATGCCAAGGCTGGATACCATTCAGCACCACGCCGGGAGTACAGAGCACAAAGACTCAAGCCTAGAACGATCCGACCGGCAGCCGGAAGAATTCACAGGCCTCTTCCGGGGTCTAGATAGAACGTTCTAAGCATTAAACAGCTGCCGACCTTTATAGGATTTGATGCTTTCCAAGAGCCTTTCTTGATTCTTAAGGCAGGCAGGCGTCTCAGGGACAGATGAGGAACAACCGGGAGATGCTGAACAAATGAGGGGGGCAAGGGTGCTATCACGCCCCCCCAACCATAAGGCACAAGATGGTCACAGTCACAGCGGCCCTGTCACAGCTCTGGAGGGAACCAGATCCCCCAGGAGCACCTGCTGCTTTCCACTCCACTCACACTGCAGCCGCCGTCTTTCTGAACAGCCATCCAAAGGCTGCTTCCTCTCCTCAGACCCAAACTGCACCTGAAGAGGGGCTTGGGGATTCTGCTGTGTGTGTTGGAAACAAATGGGAGTATTTTCATTCATTTTTTGTTTTTAACATGTTTATTTTTGAGAGACAGAGACAGAGCGTGAGTGGGGGAGGGGCAGAGAGAGAGAGAGAGGGAGACAGAATCCGAAGCACTCTCCAGGCTCTGATCTGTCAGCACAGAGCCCAGAATGGGGCTCGAACTCATGAACTGTGAGATCATGAGCTGAGCTGAAGTCGGACGCTTAACCGGCCGAGCCACCCAGGCGCCCCAGACGGGGTATTTTTTAAATGGCATTATCAATACTCCTCATTCTGGCCTCCTTCACTCCCCTAACCATCGTGGGTATGAAAATTCCCTCCCCTCCTCCCCCCCCATGCCCCCTCCCATCTCCTCTCCTCTGTCCACCCTTCAGTGTCAGTCCCAGCGACAAGCAGCTCTGGCAGTGCCCGCACAGGATGGTCTCTGGATGAATGACCAGAACCAACCTTCTATCCCATCATTTGGAGGGGAAAAAAAAACAAAACAAAACAGCTTTGCTGAAGAGCCCTGTTCTTCCAGAACACACGTGTGGAAAGGCCCAGCCAAGCAAGAGGGAAGGCAAATGTCCCAGCGCTGACCCAGAGCAGCCACCCGGTGCGTCTCTGTGTCCCCCCCGCCCCCGCCCCCGAGCTGGCGGCCCATTCCCTTCACTTACCGAAGCCTCCGGGGTTCGAGCGGGGAGTGTAAAAGCTCTGAACGCCGCATCGCTTACAGAACGTGTGCTGAGCTTTGTGCGTGTTGAACGTGTACGTGGTTATGCTCTCCGCTCCCTAAGCAAGAACAGGCAAAACAGAAGTGCTCCTTTTACAAAGAGGTTTTTTTTTTTTTTTGGTCATCAAAGAAATATTTTTTAATCTTTTAAAAGGCTTTCAGGATTATGAGGTCACGTCCAATCTCCCGCAGAGACTGGAGGCGGCTCCAGGACAGGGGCCCACCTACGCTGCCCACAGACCCGCCCGGAGCCTGGCAGCTCCCGCTGCTGTTTGTCAAGTGCACGCCGAACAACTCGGCCTCAAGCGGTCCCAGACCCAGGGCGCGACAGCAGTCCCGTCCACGGCAGGAAGAGAAAGTGCCCGCCTTCCAGGACTAACCGGGGGGACTGGCCCTCCCTGTCCCCCAACAGCAGTGCTCGAGACCTTAGACAACTGTCGACTGTACTTGAGTTCGTCTACAAAGGACAAAGTAGGAAAAGAATATCTGCCAGACATCACGGTCAAAGGGCTAATCTGCTTAATGGATAAGACAAGCGGGAAGCTGGGCAAAGGAACAGAAAAGGGAAGACGAGCCACTCTTTCACCTACGAAATGATATTCACACTCATAAACTGCAAGCTTATGTTTTGTTCACTGTCAGGTGGGCCACAATCAAAGTCGGTTAACTTGGTGGTTAACCTGGTACACACGCTCTCAAATGCCAGTAGTGGGGATGTAAATTGCTACAATTTGGCAACATCTGTCAATATTGAAAAACACATCCCTTGGCACAGAAATTCCACTTCTAGAAACGTATCCTACCATCAAGCTTCCGTGTGCACCCGCGGATACGTACGCGGATACTACAGCACCGTTCAAAACCAGGCCACAGACATTTGGAAAAACGGAAAAGGGCCACCAACACAGCACTGGTCAGAGCCATGATGGACACCCATGAAACCGGGACGCTGCACAACTTGTAGAAGGAATGAGACACTTCTACTTCCAAACACTAACGTGGAACAATCTCCAACAATCTCCAAGGTTGAACATTAATTGAGAACCAAGAAATAAAGTAACTTGTGTAGTAGATTACCATTTCCATTTTATTACCCTTTCTATTTATTTATTACTATTTCTGGGTTTTTTTCAATGTTTATTTTTCAGAGAGAGAGAGAGAGAGATAGTGCAACCAAGGGAGGGGCAGAGAGAGAGGCAGACACAGAGGCTGAAGCAGGCTCCAGGCTCTGGAGCTGTCAGCACAGAGCCCGAAGTGGGGCTCGAACTCACAAACCGTGAGATCATGACCTGAGCCAAAGTCACGGCTTAACCAACTGAGCCATCCAGGAGCCCCAAGGGATTTTTTTTTAATTTATTTTTTTTCTTAAAATAGTTTATTGTCGGGGCGCCTGGGTGGCTTAGTCGGTTAAGCATCCGACTTTCGCTTAGGTCATGATCTCGCGGTTCGTGGGTTCAAGCCCCGCGTCGGGCTCTGTGCTGACTGCCAGCTCAGAGCCTGGAGCCTGCTTCAGTCTGTGACTCCCTCTCTCTGTGACCCTCCCCTGCTCACGCTGTCTCTCTCTCTCTCCTAGAAATAAAAAAAAAAAAAAAATAGTTTATTGTCAGATTGGTTTCCATATAACACCCAGTGCTCATCCCCACAAGTGCCCTCCTCCATGCCCATCCCCCACACACACCCATCAGTCCTCAGTTTGTTCTCAGCATTCAAGAGTCTCTCATAGTTTGCCTCCCTCCCTCTCCCCCACTGTTTCCCCCCTTCTTCTCCCCCACGGTCCTCCTTTAAGTTCCTCCTAATCTTCCTATACGTGCAAACATGTGATATTTGTCCTTCTCTGCCTGACTTATTTTGCTCAGCATAACACCCTCAAGGTCCATCCATGTTGCTACACATGGCCAGATTTCATTCTTTCTCGTTGCCATGTAGTATTCCATCGTATAGATGAACCACATCTTCTTGATCCATTCGTCCGTTGATGGACACTTAGGCTCCTTCCATGTTTTGGCTATTGTGGAGAGTGCTGCTATGAACATTGGGGTACATGTGCTCCTATGCATCAGCATTTCTGTATCCCCAAGGAATTTTTTTTAATGTTTTTTTTGAGAGAGAGAGAAAGAGAGAGAGAGAGAGAGAGAGACGGAGCATAAGCGGGGGAGGGGCTGAGACAGAAGGAGACACAGAATCTGAAGCAGGCTCCAGGGTTGAGCTGTCAGCACAGAGCCTGATGTTGCCTCGAACTCACAGAAGGTGACGTCATGACCTGAGCCGAAGTCAGACACAACCGACTGAGCCTCCCAGGTGCTTCCCATTTCTGTTTTTTAAAAAGGATACATCCTGATATGTGTGTGTGTACGCGTGTGTGTATGTATATGTATACATACATATGTATATACGTATATATATTTTGTTCTTCCCCCTGAAGAAATACCCAAGCAGCAGCAGTTTCCGGGAAAAGAAATTGTGTGGCTAAAGGGTCAGGGGTAGAGGTTCTTACCAGTCAGACCTTTTTATACTTTTTCCCCAGCCTACCGCCCACCACCGAGGAAGACACAGGCTCCGTGCCTCACGTGAGCAGCTCCCAGGGGCCTCCTCTCACGCCACAGAGAAGCAGCAAAGAACAACGCCAAGGGGTCCTAAACCATCCCGAGTTACCTGCTCATACCCCCAGCCCCCCAAGAAAAGGTCAGGAGCAGCGGGCGGCTGCCTCATGCCCTCCGTCACCGTGTTCCCTACCGGAGGCCACTCGGGGACTTTCAGGCCCCCCTGCCGGCTGACCGTGCGCACCAGAGCTCCCCGCCTGTCCCCGTCACACTGCCTTTCGCTCACCACAGACTCGGCCTCTCTGCTGACTTCTGTTTTCTTGTCCAGCCAGCAAGCACCAAGACCACCATGCTGACCAGCTCAGCGGCCACTGCTCTTGACCACTGGATTCTTAACTTGTTCCTCTTTTTTGTTGTTGCTTATTTATTTTTGAGAAAGAAAGGGAGGGAGGGGGAGAGGGAGAGGGGGAGAATGAGAGTCCCAAGCAGGCTCTGAACTATGAGCACGGGGCCCAAGGTGGGGCTCAACCCCACGAGCCATGAAATCACGACCCGAGCCGAAACCAAGAGTCGGCTGCTTACCCCCCTGAGCCGCCCAGGCGCCCCTGAAACTGCTCCTCTCAGCCTGACCTCTCGGCACCAGTCCTTCCATTCAGAAACTGGTGTCTCTCAGGACAGCGCAGTGGACGGACTTTCCTCCGTCCCCACTGGCCATCCTTCCCAGGCCAAGCCTCTGTGAGTGTCGGCGGCCCCAGGACTCTGCCCTCAGCCCTGTCCCGTCGCCCGCTGGGCCAGGAGCCACACTCAGTCTCACACTTCAGTGCGTCAGCAGCTCCCAACTCAGCGGCGGCAGCTCTGCTCGCTCTCCTCAACTCCAGACTGGCCACCCCGCTGCCCACCTTCACCTTGGCGGACGGACGGTCCCCACATCCTTGCTGGGACCTCTCCGAGGAAGCCCGCTTGAGGCCAGCGCTCCTCCACACCCGCCCCTCCCCTGGGACCTGGCATCGCCATCATCGAGCTGCTGCTTTGGGTCCCCCATTGTGGGTGTGACTCAGATGCCTCTCTTTCCCCTTCGTCACATCCACCCTTTATCTAATCCTGTCCACCCTTCCTCTGTAATGGTGGTTCTCAAAGTGTGGTCCCAGGGCCGGCAGCATCTTGTAAGAAAGGCAATTCTTGGGGCGCCTGGGATGCTGAGTCAGTTGAGTGACCAACTTCAGCTCAGGTCATGATCTCACGGTTTGTGGGTTCGAGCCCCGTGTCAGGCTCTGTGCTGACAGCTCGGAGCCTGGAACCTGCTTCGGATTCTGTGTCTCCCTCTCTCTCTGCCCCTCCTCTACCTGTGCTCTCTCTCTGTCTCTCAAAAGTAAATAAATGTGAAAAAAAAAATTTTTTTTTAAAAGGTCAATTCTTGGGTCTCCCCTCCCAGCCCTACAGAGTCGAGACTGGGGCCTGGCGACCTCTCTTACCATGCCCTCTGGGTGACCTGCACACACTGAGGTTTGAGAGCCACCACTCCAAAATAAATCTCAAATAATCTCTTTTCTTTCCGTCACCACGACTACCACCCTAGCACAAGCTGCCATCACGTCTCCCTTGCCCACCCCAGCAGCCTCGTGGCTGCCCCCGCCCCCGTGCTCACCCCCTCGCAATCCACTCCCCACAGCAGCCAAAGCGGGCTTTCAAAACGGTGAGAGTGGGCGGCGCTTGGGTGGTTTAGTCAGTTAAGCGTCCAACTTTCACTTAAGTCATGATCTTGTGGTTCGTGGGTTCGAGCCCCACATTGGGCTCTGTGCTGACTGCCAGCTCAGAGCCTGGAGCCTGTTTCAGAGTCTGTCACTCCCTCTCTCTCTGACCCTCTCCTGCTCACACACTCTCTCTCTCTCTCCTAGAAATAAATAAGACATAAAAAAAAAAACAACGGTGAGGCGGGCCTCGTCACCACTCTGCTCGAAACCCTCCACGGACTTCACACTGCACAAAGGATAAAATGCAACTGAAGCCNTCAGGGGAGAACACTCATGTTAGAGTCTGCTTATCTCTACATTGCAGGAATCCTTAACCAGGAAGATGCATTTAGCTATTAGGGATGGTTAGCGTGAATTTTTCTAGTTTCTATGAACCCTTGCTCTCAGAGTATCTGAGCACGTAAAGAATGTTGTTTATAACGGCGGGGGGGGGGGGGGGGGGAGAACTGCACCCGACCTGGAAGTTCAAATACAGGAAACTGCTTATGGTTCACATAACAAAATATGCTGCAAACGCAGCAGTGACGGTATAGGTAAGTTAGGACATGACTGTGCTGGAGGAAGAGATTTGGGGCTCAAGGCCAACGGAGGTAAGACCTACTTTTGTACCTTTCAAACCCTGCACCAAGCACAAAAAAGCTCCCCCAAATAATAATTTAAATTCAATTAAAATAAATAAATAAAATTAAATACTTTAATTTCTTTAAATAATTTAAATTTAAAAAAAATTTAAATCAGCAAGATCCATGAATATGCTGCCTACAAAAG